TATATATATATATATACTACATTTGTATAATAATAATACGATCGTATGTATGTGCCTAGCGAGAGACAGGTGTAAATACGTATGCGCACATCCATGCATCTACGCATCTAGAGAGCAAATGTCTGCAAACAGTTATGTACAGAAGGAAATGCCTGTCAATGTGGTTTGTAACGAGTGCTCCGCAAAACAGTAGAGGATGCACAGGCGAAGGCTTCCGGAGACTTTAGCGGTGCAGCAACTCCTTGTTGAGCTCGCCAAAAAAGACGAGGGGGTCCGAAGTGGCAATTTTGATGCGGTCCTTGATTCTCTAAGAGCAGTTAAACCCAGATGCACACATAATCAATAGATCATTAACTTCCACATCACGGCGGCTAGATACTGGCCAACTGCAATGAAAGGGAACTAATCCCACACGTCCGGTGTGTGGGCACCGGAACCTTGCAAGCCAAACCTACAATGTTAGAAGAACTTATCAACCCCCCCACGCGCAGTGGCTCGCCCTTCACATTCCACTTCAATCCTTCAGTCGTCACGTTCCGCACTTCTCCAGCTGTATATACCACATCAGGGGTGCCAACCACAGAACACGAAACTGTCGCACCATCCAGTCTAGCAGCCATACGTGCAGGAGAAGTGGAGATTTCCGGTGCTCTGGCGGGCTCCATCAGAATGCCTCCAGTAGTCTGTGTATGCGTCCGCCAGTGTGTCAGAGACGGTTGCGTGGTAAGCGAATCCACAGTGGCTTGAGGAATAAGCAGCGAAATGAAGCAGCATGACCCACCCATAGGCAGCAGCCCGCAGGCCTCTGAGAAAACCCCATCGGAAAGCAACACCTCGTTGTCTCCCTCAGGCAGCAGCAAGCACGCGTTGCACTCGCCCAACAAAATCACCTGGGACACACAAACGGGAACACATGAAAAACAAGCAACATGCAGAGGGGATGCCAAACAGCACAGAGAGTCAGGAAAGAAGTAACATCAAAACAGCACCACCAGTAGGGGGGAAGCAGCCAAGTCCTCCGATGTGCGAATAGCTGCCGGTTCTGTCTCCCTGAGACAAAAGGAGGAAGGGCGGTCTTTTCAACACAGTGTGCAGGCCTCGAATACTGTGGAGAGGAACATCGAACCACGTACAGTGACCGCAGTAGCAGTAGCAGCTGCAATTGCGGCTACTGCTACAGCTAGACCAATGAAGCCTGCTGCTCACCTTGGGGGGCAACGTTTCTGCAGAGGCATTGTGAACTTTGTACAGAAAGCTAACAGCGGCGATTGAATGGTCAAAGCGACCACCAATGGCACCTGCAACAAATAAAGAGAACACAGCAGGTAGGGAACACCATGCTTGCACCTCCAACGGCCATTGCGCTGCCCTGTTCGTCAGGTGAACAAGGCAATACAGTCGCCGTGCCACATCCACATATGCTGCCAACGACGACAGCAATGACGCAGCTGCAACAGCAACGACACCAACAGCAGCAAAAGCAGGTAGCGCAACAGCGGCAGACGTGATTGCCGCAGGACCAACATCAGGTGGAACCACCTCAGAAGGGCAAAAGGCAGAGGGAAGGGAAGCAGCGACATTCTTGCACCCGCTGACCCGCAATAATGACGATGTCGTCGTGGGAGAGGCGAAATTTGCTTGCTGCAAAGGCGAACGCCTTCTCAAGGTCCGTATGGATTTGGTCAGACAGCCGCACAACGGGCACTCCACGAGCTTCGAAAAAATAAAGGGCCTAAACAAGTATCGAGCGCAGGAAAAGCAACGTCGCATATAAGCAAGTGTACACACAACAGCAGCACAAATTTTCCGCCAGTTCACTAAACACTGAAAAACGGGAAAACGTACGTAAAATGGAAGTTCATACTCCTAAGTTGTATGCAACCGGCCATATGTACCCGAAAAAGCAAACAAATAAACAATTAAATGGAAAGTAGACAGTTCAAGCAGGCAATGTTCGAGAAAGTTTGGGAGAGAAACTTACTAACAACCTCCATCAGAAAAGAGAATACACAGAAGCAGACAGGCAAATAAACAGTTGGTCTACTGTAGATTAGAAAAAGAGTACAGAGCACAGTTGGCTTAGCTCGCCTCGTCCTAAGGATTCATATCTTCCAACTTACATAAATGAATTAAAGTACACTGCCATATGCCTTCTCCAGGATTTGGCATCACACGGGTATTACCGCATATGTTATAACTATTGTGTCGGTGGCAAGCGCCTCTTGCTCCCTTCGTGTCCAGCAGTGCGTAATTATATAATGTGTACACAGATACTCATGTTTGCACGTACATGCATGAGGATTTAGATATATGAATACTTACAGATCACAACAGGTGATGATGACGGCGCATCAAGTGGTTGAAAGGCAAGAAGTGACAAAAATATGAACTTCTGCTGCTCACCTCCGCGCTGGAAGAGTCCATATCCCCGCATATGCAGGCGGGCAATTGCAGTGTACGCCCACATTGGTGCACGGTGGTTTCGGACTCCAAAGGAGATGCTTCTGCAACAAAAGGATCTACCGTTCTTCCATTCATTCTCTCATGCAATCGCTGCGCTTGTTGTTGTTTAGTCTCAGCAGCACGGTAGAGGGGCAGCAGGTAGTTGGCAGCACCGTCTGCTGCGACGACTACCGATGCGTTTTCGAGTAAACAGTTGACGTAAAATGGAAGTGGTCTATTGAGTAACAGCAGCACAACCCGCCCTCTCCCTGAAGCACCTGTAGAGGCATTGGATAAGGCTACAGGTGCTGCTAACGACCCTGCTGGAGCCTCTGCATGCCCAAGTGCAGCCGAAGTGTCGCTGTGTCTCAAGATCCTCTCCAAAATACGCAGATCGTGCACCGTCGTCAGTCGGTTGTTGTTACTGCTGCTGCACTCGCTGCTGCTGCTACTACTAATGCGTCCCGCGCTGTAGTGCTGCAGTATCTGGCGGGTAGCCTTTAGCGTCGATGCCATCGAATCAGGCTGTGCTACTCGATGTGAGGATGTGGAATGGCAAGCGAGAGTGACAGTTGGCTGCTTTGACACACGATGCCGCGCATTCGCTGAAGTATTAGGTTGTGAGTATAATGCTTTCAGGGAGCTTTTCGACCGAAGGTTAGGTAGCAGTCTAGGGTTCAGCGGCATTTTCTTTGGTGAGTGAAGGAAGCCTATGGCTTCCGCGGTGGTGGGCGGCGTAGCAAGACCGCAGAGATAAGTGGGCGTTGTACAAACACCTGAATAGCGCACGTATGTAGGGTAGAAAAAGCTTGGTTCGTTGTTTTGATGACGAACAGGGAAAACAATGGATGCGTGTGATAGCAGCGCCGGAATCCTGTGGGGGCAGGGCCTCATATGCGGCGAAAATGGTAGATCTACAGGAAGCAGCTGATATGGGGATCTATGGCTGAGGCCTGGATACAGCATGGAACTGCTTATCGTCAGAGAAAGAAGAAAACCCAACAGACAAGGAATGGGTGGAGACGATCGCCGGCAACAGAACCGCATGGCCAATAACGGCTTCAGGATTGGGGAAATGCATCACGGGAAAACGTAGAACAGAACATTAAGCATCGGGGAGGCTAGGCTCCAGCTGTTTTGCACAGAGACGCTAACACACTCACACATTAATGTTCTGAAAGTTGAAGTCAGCGCACCAGCGTAGGGCCCGCCATCATGCACTGGCCAAACGGCGGGTGAAACAAGCATAAGAATGCGCTGTTATTGTTTAAATGAATACTAGCACCATATTACCCTCAAAGACAGCTACTTTCAGCGGTTTGTGCGTCATTTTTCCCCTCAACCATTCGATCACCGCAGCCCCATGGAGGGCGGTATTCGGACTTGAGTGAAGGAAACACTGAAATATGGTCCTATATTCCTTTTATCGAATAACTGGAACAAATATCATACTCTGTTTTATCTATTTGCTCAATTTTACTTGCCAGCTGTCTCCCTGTCGTTTATCTCTGGAGTACCGTGCCGGTCTACTGTGTGCTCGTGCGGACACTGGCCGACTAAAAATAGAAGCTTTTCACAATGCAGCCTCTTCTAGTTAGTCATTTTTCGTTACTTCATAATTATCATCAATAATATTCAAAACCTTTTCAAAAATGAAAATACTGTTGGTTCAGGGCAGTCAAGGGAACACCCGTGCAGAGTGGTGCAGAGTGGTGTTTCTCTATCAGACTGTGCAAGAAATCTGGACAAAGTTGGCTAGTTTGTCTGAAGTTGGAGCCTGAAGTATCGCCCGGCCCTACTAGGCAAGCTTTGTGTAGTCAGAAGTTCTCAACAATGGTCGACAGTGTTCACGGGTGCAGCCAATATGGCTTGTTGTGCCAGGACATACGAGCTGTTTCTTCTTCTGCACTGTGTGTTGCCAAAAAGTGTGTCGCCGATTGTAGCAGGTCGCGTCTCCTGCAACTCCAGGTACCTTATCCCCTGTATTCAGGAAATTTGGGAACTGCGGGCTGCAATAGCCCCTTGTAAGCAGTGGGCTCCCCAAGTATTTCTTCATTGCGGCTCGGAGTAGTTGTCGTGTAAGACCGCGGATTCCCACTATACTCTGTATCCCTGTCTGCCCAACGTTGGAATGTATATCTAATGTTGGTTTACTAAACCTTAATACGCCATAGTAGGCAGTTGTCGCAGGCAGAAGACTCCAGCTGGCGTTTAAACTAATGAGCAAACGGCCAAGGCAGCGTGATAGTGCTCACATGGGTTGCTGTCTTGATAGTTTGTACCAGTGTGTAATTGCAGCGCTTTTCGGTTTGCCTGCTCTCCCGCAGCTCCACTCGTTTTCGCCACTGCGCCCCGATGCCTGGAGACAGACGACAGGGTCAAGCTCTTGTGGAACTCTGCCCTTAAACACTGAGGCTCGATTGCTGCTTGAAGTACTTCCTACATACGGTAAAAGACTGGCGTTCACTTGGAATACCCTCATAATCACTGCGGGTGCCGTAGGACAGCCGACTGCATAGCACTCACCAGTACCGGTGGTACTTCAACACAGTATGAGGTATAGGTATATTTACGCATAGCAAAGTATGAAAAGGACTGCCTAATAGTCCTGCCAAATCTTCGTCAAATCTCACGCTGTTGTCTCCCTTTCGCAGCAGAGGTTGATCAAGGTCTGCTCTCTTGTGCTACGCTGACTCGAGCGTGGGAGCCTCAATTGCAGCGTCTATTCCATCCAAGGGGACATGTTTTGCCGCCCCAAATATTTCACGATGAATCATGCTGCCTTTGATGGCGATACAGGTTTGACGGCTCCCGGGATTGAGCTGCAGTTAAGATATTGTTCCCTCTATCGAGTTGTATTACCGTCTACAGCATGGACGAGGAAAGTTACAGTTGCAATTCGCTTTTAGAAGTGGGACCGACGAAAACGTGGCTGTCTATGCAAGGGCACTACTTTCGCGGAGCGTGTGCCGTCTGTACAAGCTTACCGAGATGAGCCAAGCTGCAGCTCGTCTGAGAGTCGATTGTGGCAGAGCTAGGAGCCAAGTTGTAAAAGGGGAGATATCGATAAAGCGCGGTATCGAGAAGTACCAGTACTTGCTGAACAGACGTGCAATCGTGGACACTAAACATTTGCATTGAGAGCTGCCGTTATGCATCAACAATGTGCTTTCGGAGATAAGGAGCGCTTATGTCGACATTGAGTATTTCGAAGCCGCCTACCGGTGTCTCCTGGGATTTTGGACAGTGCTCGCGAGCAGCCAGGTTCACTCAAACACAGTTTTTGTTTGTTTCCTCAGGATGACTCTATACACATCAAAAGAAGATATTAGAAAATTGTGTATATGGAGGGTAAGGCACAGATGACACGATGAAAAGCATCTAGCCCAATTCCAGGCGGTTTGCAGGATGCCTGAACAGCCGGAAGTGGCGATGTGACAAGCAACCGCAGCACGATGCCTTTAGCATCGTCGAGAAGCAGCGTTCTGGGTAGATGGTGATAGCTAAGCTGCGCTGACACGAAGTGAGGTGGGCAGCACAAGCAGTCGCAGGCGTCCTCAGCTGCGCCGCAAGAAGAGAAGCTCACATGCCAGTACAGCTATTCTCAGGTTTGACGCGGGCACCTGAGGGCCTTCAAAGATCTAGCAAAGTGTGGACGATGTAAGCCAGTTGCTCCGAATGAATCCTATACCACCTCAGTTGGCATGAGTCCCTGGCATCACGGTCCCCTGTTCCTTGCCACTTGACCTTGATTCCTTAGCCATGGGCTGACAGACACCAAATGTAGCGTGGGGCCCCAGTGACAGCGAGGCGCAAATGTACCAAGACCTGGGCAGAGTAGGAATCCCAGAAAAGGCACGCATGGAACAGCAAGCGTTCAACGGCGATTGTTGCGTATGTTCTACTTTCTTGCTTACGATGTTCCTGTACGCATTTAAAGGGAGTTTGATTGCTCACGCTTGGGCTTGTCTTGCTCAACTAATTGCAGCAGGCTGGGTTGCATTGTAAGGGTCCTCGACCTTGTCCGACGACTTGTGCGATCGGCATTGTAGCCAAAATACGTACTTTGAGAGTTTCTTCAAAAACGCCGATCTCCCTACCGAACTTACATGCGTTGTGAGCGCAGCGGCTTAAGTCCGTGGAGACGCGGTTCGTGGTGTTGTCTGTCATGAGTTGCACTGCAAATTACTGCATCTTAAGGTGCCAAGCAGGCTCAAGTGCTTGCCCCTTCAAGCTTTCATTGCTATGTCCATGAACACAGTAGGCGATTGTTTATCATTTGGGGTTGAGTCCAGCTTGCCTACTATGACCGAGTAAGAGTCCATCGACCCAGGACAGAGATATTTCCTACATGTCACATGTCAGGCTATACTACAAGACACCTAGTTTTAATCTGCCTTACATGCTAAACCGACATTCGAGCTTAACCAGGCAAGTTTCAACTTCATGAAGTAATACCCTAGGCAATTGCTGAACCCTCATTTGACCCGTAGTCGCGAGCGTGTCTTCACTTTGTGGCACTCGAGCCACCTCTGTAGGAACGATGCTATCAATGATACATTGTCCCGGCTGAAGCCCCTCTGTAGACAAGCGCAGGGAGTTTTTATTTCCTTTGAGTATTCTTTACTGTGTTTAACGTGTTGCTCAGTTATAGTGAAGCTGAGTTACTGTTGCCCCACCAGTGTCGTGCTCCGCAGCAGCATCGATCACCAGGTGCACTGTCCTGAGGATGCGTGTCGCGGACCGTAACGGCTCTGCTGCGAATGAGTACATCAAGTGCAAACCAAACAAACACTGCTTACATAAAATACATGACAACTACTAGATGAAGATATGCTTGAGAAGAAAGACTGACTAAGCGCTCTGCACACCTATCAGCATATGAAACAGAACAAGGAGAGACTCGTGCGGAGCAGTTAATTATTGGACAGCTACACCTTCTTTCAACCACTTGTGCCATCCAGAGAAATTAGGCGGTACAACGCGGCGTTTATTCAGATCTAACGCATAATTGGGGGAGTTTCCTATATATTGTTCAATTTGCAGTCGCCAATCGGCAAGCGAGGCGGGGGACTGGGAGTGCCGCCAAAGGGAACCTGCCATTTCCCTTCCTCTAGAACTACGCATTCTACCGAGAACCATACTTTACGAAGCCTCATCATATATACTACCAAAACCATTTTCTTAATGCCCCTGTTGTTGCCTCACATGCTGTCTACAGGGCCTGTTCGTTCTGTTGCGCTGGGAGGTGGTGCCTCCGGCGGTCAACAAAATGATACTCTACAGGAGCAGGGCGTTCACACGAACGCTCGAGACATTTTGAAACAGTTGTTTGGGGGAAGAATGCCCTACACAGCTCTTACTGCGCTCTCATTTCTGGGTGCCTCACTTGTCCTCGCATTTGTTGTTGTGCAGTGCTTTAATGCACTCAACTACAAAAGGAGAACAAATAAGTATGGCGGTGCTGAGCGAATTCTGGCGGAAGAACGAGATAATCATTGCTCTGTGAGTTCTTT